TGGTGATTGACCTTGGTACTGCAGTTTAATTTTTTATTCTGTTGTTTTCGCGTTATGGACTGTTTGTGCGATATTAAGGTAGCATGTAGTTGTTATTACCATGGTTTAGTGGTTTAAATTTGGGTCCCCTAGCTGTTTGCGTTTGATATTTACAAAATGTTTAATGTTGGACTTTTTGTGTTGAATGTTTGGAAAATCTGGGGGATGGTTTGGTATGATTTTTGGTATGTGGGTAGTTGTTGAGTCTCTTTGTGTTTTGGAGTGCATTAGCAGGTTGTCGCATATTTTTATTGCATAATTTAAAAGGATTTTCACTTTTTCACCCCTACTTCATAATAGGATGGTCTGTTTGACCCAAAAGTTGGGACAGAGTGTTTTTGTTTATACCTCCAGCTGGCAGGTCAGACCCAGGCAGCCCTATCTATTTTTACCCTTGTTTATCTTATTTGTCTGGTCTGCAGGTCATTTGCCTGGTCATTGACTTACATGTACAGGCAAATGTAGCCTGGGTACCATCCCCAGTAGTATATTCGCAAACTCTATAACAGTTATAGAGTTTGCGAATATACTACTGGGGATGGTACCCAGGCTAAGGCAAATGACCTGCTGGCCATCAAAGTAAACAAACCATGGTAACAAGACACTAAACGCCTGCACATGACAGCTTGATAAATACAAAGTGCCACTGCCACCACAAATCATTCTGCTGATAAAAACAAAGTTTGACTCATAATATCTCTATTGAAATACACCAAAAGATTACAAAATAACAAGCTATTTCATGGAGGGATGATGTCTACGACTTCTCCTTGTTCTGCCTGTAACCAGGGTGGCCGGCTGTCAGGTTTCCTAACGCTGGATTCACGCGGAGGGTGACCTCTGGTTCAGGAAAGACTTCCAGGGCAGGAAGGAGTCTTAGGTTAAGTCTTGACCTCTGGACAAATGACCTTGGCTTTCCTGAATATTTACATTAAAACTACATTAAAAAAAGGATAAATTATAAGGAGTTAGTTTATATTTGTGTTTGTAATTTATCGTGTATATTCAGTAGTTACTGTAGATGCTATATATGGAAATTGTTTCTAATGAAAATACACTACAAAACTGGTGAATTTGGCATCAATATAAAAATACAACAAAAATGTCTTACAAATGGACTAAATATGCTATGATTTATGATCATTATTTTCCTGTTTTTATGGTTCGACCAGACCGTAAATCGTGGGAAGACATTATAGAAAAATCCATCTGAGCTTGTTCCTATTCCCGAGCACCCGATACAGGCACATACTGTACGGGTAAATTCTCCTCTCCATAACTCAGCCTGTAACATGGTCATGTTTTAAAGGCATCCAGTGCATTTATTAATATTAGGTCCTGGAAACCCAATTTTTCAGAGCCAATATTCTAGTCATTTATCTACATACTGAGTTGAAACCACACCGTCATAGAGCAAAATTCTGGCGGAAAATGGCTACTGGAAGGGCCTTGGGCTGATTTTTAGGGTACCACAGAGAAAATATAGGAGTCATCTTGGGGCTTGTTTCTGCAGGTTTAAAAGCCCAAAGTATGAAATACTGGTTGAAATGTGCCAATATGTATCAGTATGTGTCAATATCATAATGATTGCCCTATTCAGAATATTTCCAGTTTTGCTGCCCAGAAATCGCCTTTGATACCTTTAATGCGCCACGCTGGCTTTTCTCACCATTTGATATGCTAATGCAGCAGACTCATTATAAAGGAGCAGTCCCAAAGGTACCAGCAGTGTTTTTGATGTGATGTTGACATGATCTTTCCCCTAAGGCCTAGGAAAAAAATTGTGTTTCCTGTTTCCTGACCGACCCTAAAATATCTGCCGACCCTAGAATTTTTTGTGTCCGGACCCCTGCAAGAGACAATTTTTCGAGCTGATCAAGCTTTTCTTGCTCCATGATCTGACACCTGAGTGATAAAACATTGTACAACTGGTTTTCTAACATTGACATTGAAAATAACAGTGTCCTCATGCAAGTTTTACTTTGTTAATCTGTTTTGTTTAAGTTCGACCCCTATATATATCTATATCACAGAACCTACCTACCAACCCTAGTTTTTTCAGGACTGAAACAGGAAACAACAATTTTTCCCTCGGCCTAACACTCCAGAGCTGACTCTGACATACCTAACACCACAGAGACATGAAGGTTTGATATGTAGATGAGAAGACTTCTGACTAAGCCGTGCTGTCTACATGGTAGTCAGTCTTGTGTGGTATCACGGGTGGTCTATTCTCTACTGTAATACCCTGTAGACAGATCGCATGAATGGCTACCATATCAATTATCAGTTTCCTAGCTAATCAAGAATTCGTGATCTATCCCTCCTGCTTTCACATGCAAATTAAAAAACTTGTAATCAAACCTCGTTTTATGTCATGACTGTTTAACAATTCTACTAGATAAATATTGGTTGTCAAAGGTCGTATTTCTATTGCAAAATGATACATTTTGAGCAACACCTTACTTTAAATTATTCAAATTTAGACCCTCAATTTTTCACACTCAAAATCTACCTTCAGGCAATATTACTTATAAAAGGAAGGCTTTAAATTTTGGCAACCTACAATTTTGCAAATGGCAGTAAAACGCTTTATTCGGGTCCTGAAACATCTACATGTATGCCAGTCGTGTTAAAGTCACCTTTCCAAATCATCAGTTTTCTGCATGAGGAATCAAAGATTGGCAGAGACTGAGTCGTGCCATCATCTGGCCTAATTAAGCACTAATTACCTGTATTCGTTAGTGCCACAGGGAGAGCAGATGTACCCCCATGGACCAGGGTTGGACCTGTTTGAAGGACACTAAAACTTTCTGACCTCAGCTGCAATGTAGTGAATCTGGACATTTTAAACAACAGACTGTACTGATTTGCCAAAAAGAAAGAAAAAATTCAGGCCTGTTTTTTTTATTTATTTTTTCACCCACCCACTCCATTTTTTTTCTAGAAAAATCCGTTAACCAAGAAATTAAATTGGTGTGGCCTTAGCATACTTACAACAGTCTACATGAATACAGTGATATCACTGTCGACATGAACTGACAGGAGCACAAGTACACAACGTCACAAGTTATGCCTGGATAAATGTTTTCAGACAGGACCAGGATATAATGCTGTGTGTTTTACAGGATGATAAAACTGTCATTATGTTTTACATCCCCAGTAAAACTGGGCCGGCTTCACTATTCAGCACAGGATTTACTGACTCAGTAAAATTTATGACAGAATAAGAGAGTCGTTGCAGTTTTACAGGGGAGTCGCTCATGTTTTGCTGGTAGTGGATGGATCGTACGATCCAAGGTGATTCAATGATGATCAAATTGAACAAGAAGAGGCGTAAAATCCCCGGTTGGAAGTCATCGAACCAGTCCTAGAGGAGCCGTGGCGTGAAACGAGCCGAGTGTTGGGCAATTTTCTGAGCCATTGGGCGATCGGTTTACTGTCCCGACTGTTCCAGCTCAGGAGAGGTGTTTGAGAGAGAATTAATGAGTAAAAATTGGGCTGAATCTATCGCTACATGCTTCAGTATGACATGATCAAACATGGGCTGGTTTAAACTGTAACATTGATGAGGTGTTTTACAATATATGACATAGTAGTTACACAATTTTAAATGGCTGATTGTATAATTATATTATAAGATTCATTAATTTATTTAAAGGCAGACTTTTTTCTGTTTGTCTTGTCAAATTCTCTAGTTAAGCATTAGGCCATACCAATTCAGTTCAAGGGATCTCCATTTAAAGGAGATATGTAAAAACTGGAAAAATTGTCATCAAAACAGACCTTGAACACAAGACTAGGTTTATTATTTAAATTATACCTTGGTACACTCAATTTTTGGAGACTTACGAATATATTCAAGTTTTTCTCACAGTACTCTTATTAATCATGTCTTCTTGCTGAATTTTCACCTTAGAGTGTCGAAGAAGGGAGGAAATCACTAGATCTGGTGTTTTTATTTATGAAAATCCCAAGAAGTGATAAATTCAGCTAGCCTCTACCAGGCTTCGGGAGGCGACTGGAAAGAGTAGAAATCGGCCAAATAGAGAGATAACATGCCAGGGGAGCTGGTCTGCTGGAGAGAACAGTTTGGAGTGGAAAACTGTTCTCTCCAGCAGACCAACTTTTCTCAGGCTCCTTTGGCATGTTATCTCTCTATTTCGTATTTGGTCAATTTCCACTCTTTCCAGCCGCCTCCCGAAGCCTGGTAGAAGTTAAAATTCAGCCGGTGTGGCCGAATCCCTGCCCTTGTCAGTTCTGAGACAGCTGATGTGTTCTGACATGTAATTAATCCATAATTCATCACTAATTAAACACCTGGGAAATAAACGACCCGCATCTGTAACGACCCACCATCGTTACCGGCCCGATCAGAATAATAAGTATCAGATTATTAATGCTAATTAATATGATTGGCTAGATAACGAGCACTCTCCCTCTGTGATGACCAGACATGCGTAACAATAATTAAACCTACCAAGTCGTGGGCATAAATATGCAGTTTTTTATAAAGTGTTTCTACGAATTACATTTTGTAATTCATGCCCAAAAGCCCCATACTACAGAATACTGTTAGAACAAAGAATTTTTTAACCAGCAGTTTCAGTTTTGTATCAAAATCATTGTTCAAATATCATGTTCTGAAGTCTCCTTTTCCTTCCCAACATTGTAACAACATAGCATTACCTAGTAGAGCAACAAACAAAGCCTTAAATCTTTTTGTACACATAAACTGTAGATTTCTAACATTTTTCTACCTCTGTTCTAACTGCCCTTCAGCGTATCACCCCATGTTTCCCTGTGGTTACAGTGTTCCCATGGCCTGACGTCCCTATGACATTGCCTCTATGCTGTAACTACAAGCCACTTTAGCCCAGAGGGAATTCCCCTCCAATGTGATTTGTACAAGCCCCCCCATGGGGCACACGTGGCCGAATTACACCTGAACACAATAGAACCAATCAGCTGTCCACTCAGGTGTGAAACGAGCGCGCTCACGGGCCAACTCATCGACCTTGATGGGGGAATAACGCCACAAGGTCACGCCGGTGTCAGCACGGCTGGTTACAGCCGGTTATATTGCTACATCCCGTCCAACCATGTAGCAAATTGAGGTTTGATGTTTATTTAACTGACCCCAAATCTCTGAGCTTACTGCTCAAAATCTTTCACCCACTTGGGTCCAATCACCTCTATTTATCATACAAGCTGGAATCTATACAGTTCTTAAAGGAACTGTCTTCAAACTTAAGATTTAACTATCAGAAAGGATACTAGAGCTTCTAATTTTATTACGATTATTATTATTTTCTTGCAGACATCTAGTGCTTTCTTTCTTGTCATTTGACAATAATATATTGTTGCCATTTGCTGAACAAATTCATTTGTTTATTCTTATTTTTCGTTTTATGAACTACTTGCTTATTATTCCCACTATCATAATTTTGTGTCAGATCATGAAAAATGGCATTTTGCTGGGCAAGAGGTTCGCTCCAAAGTTTAACCTTCTTTCCACTGCCTAACTCCTAACCAGTACAAATTCTGACCAAAGAGACCCCCTCGGTTGTAGGAAGGTTATCCCTCCAGCTGCCTGCCTGATCTGACATGGTACATGTAATCACATGGAGTCAGAACAAAGACATGTACAACAGGTGGACATGTCAGACCAGCCACAACCAACACCAGGTGGTCTTCTGGGCAGAAATTTAACCTTCTCACTATGGTAACTGCCTTTTAGCACCACATCTGCACTGGTTACAGGGTTAGGCAGCAGGGAAAAGGTTAATATCGCCCCATTTTTTTTGCTTTCAGAGTAAAAATTCAACAAAGAGTAAAGATGAAGACAGAACATTGGGAGCAAAACTTGCATTATATCAACTTTAAGAAACTACATGCATACCAAATCAAATTGGTGTTGCATGTACAGGCTTTGTATATGCAATTTTAATACATCTTCTGCAATATTAAAAATGTCTTTGCAAAATGCAGACTGCAGGTAGGTATCTCTAACACTGACGCAGGTATGCAGAAAAAAGGATTTCAAAATTTGCAACGCCTTCTCCTGACACCTGGCATTTCTAGACACACAGGAGGACCGTGTACGGAGTTCTCACCAGCCAGCATCAGTTTTGTCTGAAACAGTGACACATTCAGACACCCTGACGTCCCTGCCTCACATCATGCCTACAGACTAGTGTCAGACTCTGGGAGGGTTTCCAAAAACCCTTTCAGACCTGGAAGCTTTTAGCCTGTCCATTTTACCAGGGGAGAAACGAAATGGGGAACGGGAGACGCACTCGGAATATACACATCTCTGTAAGAAACCCATCAGACTAACGGCACGAGATCATATACAAATGCAGTCCTTCCACCATTTTCTCAACCTGTAACTCTGTAGCTGATAGAGAATTGGTAGCCAAACAACAACTTCAGTGTGCTAAAGGTTAAAACCTGTCCTTTCTCATTGATGCTGAAATTTTATTAAAAAAAAAAGGATGAAAACTGTACAAAATTCAATAAAACAAAAACACCTCAACCCATGGCTAGCAGCATTGCTCACATTTAGAAATGGACGTTCAAAATTTCCTTAAAAATTAGAGTTAAGACCACCCTGTTTTACTCAGTTCTTGTTCAAGTTATTCCAATTTGCCACATCTATATGACTTTCAAGTCCAGATAAAGCCGATCAATGACTGTTGGGAACAAACCCATACTGGCCAGATGCAGCTATAACATGTTGACTTTTCCTGCTGAACAAATTTGAACATGGTACAAACACGGATGTACTTGTGCACAAGGCTAGATTACAACTAACCGGCTCATGTGTTTAACAATTATTTCTATTCACAAACTTATCTTTGAAGATAAATTCAAATGTAACACAGAATGTGGAAGGGTAAAAAAAAGTGTTGTCTATAGCTCTATCTGGTGTAAGCTGGATCATATCTATTATATACATTACTGTATTTTGATTTAAACACATTGAAGGCATACTTGTGTGTCATCCCATTTAGCAGGCCAACAAACAAAAATGCAGGGATTTTTTTTATAAACCAGGGGAATAAGAGTGCTGCTCCCTCATGTAACCAGCAGCACAGGTATATCAATTTTCAGATTGAACCCTAGTGGCTACATACACACCATTTAGTCTTTCTCAAAATGATCTTTTACCAGTGAAAATCTAAAAACATCCTAACAATGCATTCTAGCATTACAAACTGTGTTACTCTGGTTGTAAAATAAAGTTGAAAAAATTTTCTTCGCTCTCTCACCATGCTAGTGATCTGCACCCTCATGCTAAATTTTTCTAGAAAACCCCTGAAATTGGACAAATATGAGTTACAGAACCAACAGGTGTCTTCAGTACTCCCAGATCACTTTCACAGGGGAGAACAAATCAGATCGTTACCATAATTAAGTCCATGTAATTAAAAACTAATGCAATTCATTCGGTAATTACATGAATTATTCAAAATCTATTTCTGCATTTTCTCTCCAATCAAAATTACAGCCTGATATCATGTTACTGGTGTGTTTATTGGTGAACGCAGGACTTTTCTTGTCAATATTTTATTCCTTTCATAGTTTAGTTAGCTTTTCATTTACTCCAAGAAGCCTCCACTGGTCCTTTTAAACCTCTCAATCAATCTTCTCTTTCTTGGAAAGATTTCCCAGATAACGTATCGCAGCAGTCTACATCCATTTATATCACATCCATCTTGCGAGTGATTCAACCGGCATAGCTCCAGATAAAATCTACGGGGTTTGAATCCCGCGAGCCGCGTCGGAGAAACTCTGTTCCATCTTAGTCAGGACTTGAAAGCGTGTAGCTGTGTCTGGGAGTTTAGCTGCTAACCCTAAGGCCACACCAATTTGATTTCTTGGTTAACGGATTTTTCTAGAAATATAATGGAGCGGGCGGGCGAAAAAAAAAAAATAGGCCTAGGCATCCTGTTATAGCCCAAAATGGTACGATAGGAGCCTTGAAGTCAACACACCAGGCTGGTTTAAAATTTAAACAATGAATTTTCAACTTTTAATGATACCAATGCATTGAAAGATGGAATAACTGTAACAACTAGGATGAAAAGGACTGTTTTCAACTGTTAAGGGCAAAATATGAGCATTTTGCAGTTGATTTTGAATTTTTATTTTTATCTGCAAATCAGAAAAAAACGAAGCGGGCAAATCTGTTAACCAAGAACAGTGGTTGGTGTGGCCCAACCTGTTCATCTCACCTGACTGACTGACAAGTGTGGTATATCTCAGACTGGTACAGGCCTGTAGATACTGTTATCTGTGACTAACAGTAGGTATTCCAACGCTACCAGGAAAATCGTCTACCGCATGGTGTCGGTACAATTTTCTAGCATCTTCCCACACTCGCGGTGCAAAAATCATTCGCTCCTAGTAGCAAAGTTACCCATAAAAATAAAGGATATAACTTCCCCTTTCCTGTGGTGTATTTATTTAGGTTGTAAAATGTTGCAAACGCCAGAAATTTGCCGATGAAAACGGCGCGTCGTGAGCCGAGCGCCCGGGTCGCCGAAACGCGGCCATTTTGTCCCTCTCGCTATTGCGAAATCACCCTGACTTTAGTGCGCTTGCGCCTCGCCGTCATAGACCGCATCAGAATGAAAGTAGCACCATTCGAAAGCGCAGATTCCGAGCTTTAAAATGGTGCCAGGGACATCGGGAAAATTTTATTTTCGGGGGGCTAAACGTCCATTTTTAACGATTTGTCGATCTTTAAACATCAATTTGACCACCTAAATTTCATTTTCCCATTTTGTCACCAGTGTCAAAATGACGGCAAAAAACAGGGCTTTCCGCTGATGTAATCGGTAGTTTTCTCGAATGCACGCCGGCGAAGCGCAACGCTAGATTTACTGATGAAGTCATGGTAAACAGAGCGCTGCCGCGGGAAATACGGCCCGCTCGGGCGCCGGGCGTTCTTCAGGAATAGCAAATACGTGAATGGAGCGGCACAAATACGCCCTATTTGACGCTATGGAGCAAGAATTTCCAGGTAAAATATGTTTTTGTGTATTTTGAGAGTTTGTAAACACTGGATGGGGGGAGGGGGGGCGAGGTCTAAGGAAATTATGTGTGCTTTTATTACAAATAATACCAATTTATTTTCTCAAGCCCATACCAGCAAAATTATGTAGTTTCAATGCAATATGTGTACTTGTAGTACTTATCACTGATTATGTTATAGTTTAAGAGTTGTTTATTTCTGTGGTACTTGACATGTAAATTGTTGTTTGCCTTGTTCCAAGTTGAAAATACCACTGTGTATTTTTTTCACTTGTTGAACTTGAGGCACCGTGGGCCCCCGGTTAGGGGTCAGCCGGGGAACCTATGCCCAATTTTTTCAAAATTTTGATGGCTATTTTAAGCTCATTCTTATTGTTGCAATGAAAGTAAATGGCATTTTGGAGTATATTATTTTCACTCATATTTGTTTAGCCATGTAGTAGTAATTTATCAAGCCAGCAAACCAATATTTTGCCCAAGTTCCCTGGACTTGGATATCTACCTACCTACTTACCTTGTCCATCAAAGGACCGGGTCGTCGGGGTGACAGGGTAGTTTTCCTTTGTGCTGCAGCAGTCAGTAGCTCCGGGATTGTCATCCAAATCATTCTCTTCAATGAGCTGACTTCAGTTCAAACTTGAGGTTACAGTATATATACACATTGTACTTACCTGCTGTATTCTTTTTTTATCGTATCAGGAACCCATTTCTTACAAACCTGGGAAGTGTGGTAATGTTGCCATGTGGTACACAACGACAACCATGGCCACCAACTCTGGTACCCAGGAGAGGTTGTAGAGGATGGGGTGGAGACAGTGACTATCAACTTTTTCCACAAAGTTGCAGTTAACTTGAACCTTCTATTTCTATTAGAAATAAATCTTTAGAACTACCCAGTATATACAGTGTAAAGAATGTAATGATTTCAGTACACCAAATAGATGTTAGTGCATGTCATACATTGTACGCTAGATTAATAATGTTTTTATTGACATTGTAAATGCAACTTGATAATATTGTATATAGCTACACTTATGATACATTTATTCAATCAAAACAAACATCTGCCATGTTTCTGCCATGTATTGTGCAAGTGTTGAGTTGTACTTTTGATGCAACATGTAACATCATGGCTCATCAAGCAAGTGATATATGTACCGGTATGTGACAGATTCATGCAATCTTACCGTTGACCTTGACCAAGTTGACCTTGTAATTAGGGCAATTAACATTCAATTTGATGACATTCTGTGGATGTAACATATTGTATCTATTACTTACAGAAGATAACATAATGCTGTACACTGTGGAAGTCTATGAAGTATGTTGCTTAGTGGACTAGTCTAGTACTATATTTACAACGCTATATCATGCATATATATATGACTTCGCGGTTACCCAAAATATTGACTTTTTGACCTAAATTTAATCCTTTATGGAAGAAGTACAGGTAAAATAACTGTTTTTATGTAAAAGAAGACTAATGGGTGTTGCTGTGTCTGAAATATTGGAAGACAGGTCTGTTCCCATCAAAGAATACAGGTGTGTGAACTTTGGAGGATTTTTCCCCCTCTAGGGGTCAAAGGTCACGCTGCCACCTGACAGATTTGTCGGGAAAAGCATATTTAGACCCGGCATATATACATAATAAAATGTCGTGGAAGTCTGGAACTCTGTGATGTGACTCAATGTAGTACATATTATCAATAAATAAGATAAAATAAGATTTTCACCATTTACTTACCTTTTAATCACCCTTCAAAAATGGTAATTTGTTCATTTTCTCAGATGATTTCACAATCTGGAGGTTAACGAGGTCATATTTTGGCAACTTCGTGGAGCCATATCTCAGGAACCGCTCAAGATATTGACCTCATTTAAAAAGCATTTTACTCACCTTGATAAGCTCTTCCAGAAACTGTAAGAATCATCTCTGTATTATGTATTTGAAATTTTGGTTGGAATACCTACTAACAGGGAGAGATGTAAGTACTGCTTCCTACACAGAACAGGAGATAGACATCATCTAACATCTGCCATCAACCGTAAAGATTTCTGTCCACATTTCTTATCTGTAGTATGCTAAAACCCTTGTAGAATGGCACTGAATATAAAACAACTTTTACGTTATAACTTTATAAAGATGGACTGCTGGTAAAACCCTAACTGATAGAGAAGATAAAGACTTGGTGGTTCATTTTAACCTTCTCTTGCTTGTTACATTAAAAGTTGTGCATTGTATAACATACAGCATTAATAATCAATAATACTACTACATACATAATGAATTGTCACTTTATATGACAATGTCAAACTGAGAGTGAGTGAGTGAGCGAGAGTGAGTGAGTATATGACACATCAAAACTGAGCCTACAAAATGCCTTGCATGTGGCTGATATCTAGACTATTACACTTGTAAAAACTAAGCTATGAAATGCCTTGCTGTGTCTGATTGCCAGGCTATAGAATACCTAAAAACTGAGCCTTATAAAATGCCTTGCTGTGTCTGATTGCCAGGCTATCAAATACGTCAAAACTGAGCCTACAAAATGCCTTGCCTGCGGCTGATATCTAGACTATTACACATGTCAAAATTGAGCCTATTAATGCCTTTCCTCTGGCTGATACCTAGGCTATTAAACATGTCAAAACTAAGCTATAAAATACCTTAGTGTGGCTGATTGCCAGGCTATAGAATACCTCAAAACTGAGGCTACAAAATGCCTAGCATATGGCTGATATCTAGGCTAAAACACATGTCAAAACTAAGCTATAACATACCTTAATGTGGCTGATTGCCAGGCTATAGAAAACCTCAAAACTGAGCCTACAAAATGCCTTGCCTATGGCTCATATCTAGGCTATACATGTCAAAACTTTGCCCTATATTATAGCTAGCCTGCGGCAGTGTGTTTTAATGTTACAGTAATGCATGATATCATCCCTACCAGACACAACCTTTATGGCCAGTGCCAGGATACTCCACATAAATTTTCCTCAACATTCAACCAGGGGCTTTTAGCTTTTACATGTACATGTATACACAGATAGCAGCAAGAATTCTTAATGCTAAAAGGTTACTCTTTTTTTACCTGAAGACATGGCTGACATTTTCCTTAAGATATACTTTCCATTTCATGTTCTAAGATCTTAATCCGAACTTGAGCCGTATGTTTGTAACTCTAAACCCAGTCGTAAAGTTTTGGAAGTGTATAAAGGAGAACTAACAACATTAACTAGTAACACCATATCCTTGAGGTATCTAAAAGTTATGAGGCTGATTTTAAGCAAGAGGTTTTTTCTCCGAGGCTGAAGACTTCTTAAATTCCGCCTAGGGAAACTAAGAAGGAAGGAGTTTTTCTTAGAGTTCAGAGATAAGGAACATTCTTAGATGTGCACTAGAAGCTTCTTATGGTAGAAGCTACATGCACAGTCTGTTTGAAAGTCAATTTCTAGGAATTATTAGCTGTGTAATTCATTTTTCTTGGAAGTGGAACAGTTACAAACCATATTTGTCTATCAATATATCACTCTTTCAGGAAATAAACTCAAAATGTCCTTGAATCTACAATTTGCAGAAAAAAATTGAGAAAGCATGAAAGAATGTAAAACGCGCAATTTTAAAAGTTAAAGAAAAATCAGGCCTGATATCACATATTGTTGAAAGAAAAAGATTTCTTCCCAAGAGTTCAGGCAAAATTTTTGGAACAAGCCACCATACTGCCAAATAAAGGCATGTGACCTTTGCCCTGTCCCTACCATTCCCAGCATGCAGTGTTCTCCATATGGAAGGTTTAGGTACAGAAAGGACAGAAGAAGTGACAGACACTGGGCGGCAGAATACCTCAGCATGCTCCCACGCTCGTTACGTTTCACTTCCAGCCTTATACTACCAAACCCAGCTGTTACCTCTGACAACTAACTTCCTAAAATGCAGAGAGAGGCGAGAACAGATCAGACCATTTCTGTCCCTTCTACCTAATTTGTGGAGAGAACTACATACCAAACCACATTACAGGAGACAAGACAAGTGTCTGGAACATCTCGGATATTTCAACTGCTGCACACAAGGGCAGAATCCTACCTATATCAACAACTTTCTGACTTTGTGAAATTGCAGGCTTAAAAAGTTCCTATCAAAGACAAGTTGGTTAATGCACTACAACCTTTTGTGCAATGGAAAGCTGTCTACAATGCTTTCTAGAGTATACCACAACATACAATCACCCCTTTTAAAGAATGGCATTAGCCAATCTGCCATACAATCTAATCATGTTATCAAAGATTGGACCATGCTATTCGTAAAAATAGGGGTGGTAAGAACAAAATTATAAAAGTTTCCTCATATCAAGCCATCCCATCCAAAAGTTAGGACAGTCATGATACAACAAAGTATAGAATGATTGTACCAATATTACATACATGGTCTGAGACTGGACTGTACCAACAGTGAGAAGAAAACAGGGGTGTGTACGTGGCTTACCTCTGCTCTGTCCTGTGGCTCTGTCCCTAAGCACGTTAAGCTGGTAGACTGGTCCAAACTCCTCAAACATCTGTCTCAGGTCCTTCTCGTCCATGGACCGCGGGATCTGGCCCACGAACATCTTTATTGTGTCCGTGTCCGGCTCGGTTGGCACAGTTGTGTTCATCTTGCTGCAAACGCAAAGAGAAAAACGCGTTAGGAAATTTGAACGAAAATCTTTGAGACACCTTCCATGATCATTAAGTTGTGTACATCTTGCTGCAAACAAACGCAAAGAGAAAAACGTGTTAGAAAATTTGAACAAAAATCTTTGAGAAACCTTCCACGAAATGCTTGACTAATCTTCTTGCTATAAAAGCAATGAAAAATAATACAGTTAGACATTTGAATGCATGTAATATCTTCACGAAATTTAAACTACAAAAAAAAAAAACCTTCACTGATCTAGTTGCGCTCATATTGCTGAAAATGCAAAGAAATGTTGACTGACTGAACGCTTATGATCATAATTACAGAATTTAAGCAAGAAGTAGACTGACTTCCTATTCCAAGGGAGTCCTTACCTACAGGAAAAATGATCACAGAAACCTTACGGCAATATTTCACCTTATACTCAAACCAAGCATTTCAAATGCGGTTCCTTCTGACGCCAGCAAACCTTACCCAAATATTTAACAAATAAAAAAAAAAATCCGTGAGCACATTTATACTGCTTAGCAAATTGCAACAAGCTCAATTTACCATTCCAGGATTGGAGTAATTAGCTCCGAGAGTTCTAACGATAATAATGGTCATTAACTCAACAAACCGTCCCTACAGAAACGAGGAAAATATTCCCGAGCTAATGGCGAGCACGTATAACTGTTGTACCCTGCATAGTGTCACCAGCGCAGCATTAATACACAGGCAGGCCTGGAAAAAACAATGTTGTGTTTCCTGTTTCCCGACCGACCCTAGAAAAAAACTGCCAACCCTATCCCTTTCTTTTATGGACCCCTGCAAGGGACATTAATTTTTTTAGCTGACCGACCTTTTCTAGCTCCATGATCTGACACCTGAGTGATGCAACGTTGTACAATTAGTTTTCCAACATTGACATTCTTTGGTAAACTGTTTTGTACCAATAGAGATTGCTTTAGGTCTAAGTAAAAGATAATCCCTACCTACCGACCCTAATTTTTTCATCACTGAAACAGGAAACACAACATTTTTCCCCAGGCCTGAGCTAGAGTTAATGTAGAGGCTGTGAGGCTGATAGGACCACATTACTACAGGGTGAGAAATGACATCACGGCCTGGTTCTGACAGCATGACTACCTCAGGAGGGTTATCTCTGCCTTCTGTGGGAGCTATCTCTGCCCTCATCTCACAGGAACACAGTATAAACACATCAGACCAGCCTACAGCAGGACTGCATACACAGGGGCCTGCATGCCCTTTTGCGTAAGACGTAATCAGGCCTTTTTAGTTTTCGTAATAGGTAGGCAGCCTCCCAAAAAATCAAGGTAATTCGTAATAGTACATTAGCCGCAAAGCGTAAAGTGTAACACACATAAGATCATGTGACCATACAATTGGGTCAGTCAAACTGAAGAAGGCTAAAATTCACTGCCTTATTACTCAAGGCCAGGGACACCAGGACTCAGTATAAGTCAATTCAAGCCTTATTGCTATAGTGTTAGATGTTTTGCATCTCTGAAAGCTTTCAAAAACCAAACTGTACGAACACAAGGAACCTAGCCTTGCTGTAGAACTCAAGAAAAATCCATATTCCTTACCAACTTGTACGTAAGACTTTAAGATTTCCTCCAGACCAGATGTATCTCATTAAGCCTGCTGAACCTTGAGGTAAGATTGAGTGATTTGTTACGTCTTAAGCCAGTGAAGGTCACAATGTCTTGGCCCCTTGCTGACATCTCCAGATGTCCAGGTTAAAATTAAAACTGAAGAATAACAGTAAAACTAACAAAGACTTCTGTAGTGTGAAACAACCTCCTAAATCACGTACAGCACTTTTGGAAAAGAAAAATCACAATTTTTGCAACATTTGCAACATATTTACTGTATGTATGAATGAATGAATGAATGAAACTTTATTTTCGTGTCGTGCGCTTTCCCGCGCCCAGCCCGTGTGGGCTTATACGACACCGATTGAGCATAAGTTAATACATAAACAAAAGAGAATCAAAGGTACAGATGACAGAATCCTAACAAAATATGAACACAAATAAAGGTAGGCTACATACAATAATGTACACTGTATGTACAACTACAATAAGCTCAATTTTTAAAGAAGAACAAAACCTGCGCTTGAAACTAAGAACAGAGCACTTGCTAGAGATGAAACTTTGACCAGAAACAGGTACGAATAATGTCCTGTCTTCTGTTGAAGAGACATAAACCCCAGTGATTGATCTGAACCCTCCTGACTGACAGACTGGGGCATGTTTCCTGACCAGGAGATCTGCCCTGGCCTTTCTACTGGAAATGTCACACGTTATTTCTGACTTCTCCTGTAGCCTGACATTATCATCTTACCTGGGAACACCTGTTATAATACCTGTACAGGTGTGTTTGTTTGAAAAATCAACATCGTTTTTGGTTAACTACAAATATATGAATTCTTTCTTTGGTGATGCTCAAATTTTACGCTTTGGCAATTTATTTAAATTAAATTTTCTACTTAACTACAATAGGGAAATTGTTACTCAGGCAACTGGATAGATTTTGAAGATAACAAGTTGCTTGAGTAAAAATTTCCTTGTGTATCTCACTACCTAGATGTCTAACCTTCATCGACGTACAACAAATACAAGAGACATTAGGCCATGGTGTAACGTCCCTTCCTAAGGACTACATGTGACCTTTTCCAGTAGCGCGCATGTCAAATTATTTATTGAACATCGCTGTAAATTCCACAGTGCACTAATCAAGCTATGGTTTACTGTATAATGTACAGCATACATAATAAAATTAACTATGGGCAGTTCCACTGGTTTGCAAAATAACTGGATTTGGTATACAGTTTTTTCATGGTTTCTTTTAGCCTGGACACCACCCTATATGCATGCCGGGACTTCCATACTCGATCCGTAAGAAATATGTTTTAGGGAGCGAGTATAGGATCCCTGGCATACAAATGGGATGGCACCCAGGCTAGGTTTCTCTGCTATGAAGGACAAAACATAAGCAGACCCACACATTTTTTTGTGGTCGCATTATTCTTGCAATTACCAATCCTGTCTATAGCTGTCAACTTTCTGCTGTTACAGTGTTAGCATTTTGTTCCAAAGCGGTCACTATACTATAGATGGGTATACATCAAAAATACCATAGCGTAATTCACGTTTTAATCTTCAAGTTGTCACCATAACTAAGTCTTGAAGCCTTCCCAGTCCTGAACATTACGTTTCCCATCCTTCACTCCCGATAGTGGCCTTGCACGGACGGACTATTCCATCTCTGGTCAGCCTTTATTTCTCCTTAATTCAATTCTGTCAGGCTTCTCTTCTGCACTGATAAATCCTATCATCAAATCGATTCAACATCAAGCAGAGGGCATTTAAGGACACAAAAAATCTATTTGATCAGACATTATAATGAAAAACAATGCTGCTAATGTTCAATCAAGCACAGAGGATAAATTTCGATCAGACTTAACAACATGAAACTGCTGGTAATGTTCAATCAAACGTAGAGTATACATTACAGCTTGATTCTAACCAGGAAGTCTTCACTGTTCAACCAATCAGCTCGCAGTACGAGGGTCGAATCGGGTCAATGTTTGTCTGAAGTTGAGTTAAAAACACATTGTGGTCATCAAACAAGTACAGATCATGACTTCTGTTGAAACAGACTGTTTCATGTTGCTTTACACAAGGTTCTCAAGTATCCTGTAGTGTTACAGAATCCAATTGGAAAAATTAGCTACAGAAAACAGAGATTGGTCTTCAGTAATGCAGTACAGATTCAGGATTATTTGAAGAAAGCGATCAAAAATTTAAAAAAAACAGAAATCTGCATTAATTGCCATATCTAACCAACTGTCTAATTAGCAAATGATGAACAATTACACATAATTAAGCTGCATATAAATCAACCACACTGACAGGTAGGAAGTTGGGTAACCTAAATTTTCCCAAAATTTGCCCAACGTACAACCAAAGCTGGATATATATTTCTAACCCTACATAAGTTGCACTGTACAAACCTGTGTGCTCACCTGTAGTGTAGCATATCTAAACACACACCTGACATACTCAGGTACTGCCAACGTCAGGGAGACAATACACAGGTAAATAACCACACAGGTGAGACTGCACAGGTACTGTGTACCAAACACCTTTACCTGTACCTGGAAAATTAGTTATGTACAGGTAAGGACCTCAACATCTGTGCATGAACAAGCTACAACACTAGAGAACACCCTAATGTTTGTGGTAAACACATTTTCAGCCCCTTAACTAAACCACAGCTCTATCTACATCTGTATCTGTATAGCCGGTATAACCGCCTTTCCACGTAACACACCAGCTTCACAGGCACGCGGCGCGGCGGCAGCTGCCTATATTACACCGATCGACTTGTTACACCTAACCCATTAACTTCTAGCTCTAGACATTGTTTAGAGCTTTAGTTTTAATGCCTGCTGTAACCACAGTACAGGTAGTCTTATCACTCTTTACTTTCCTGCAAGAAACCTCTAAATGTTAATGTTGTGTTCCTGAAGACTGTGCCTTTCCCAGCTCCAGTTGTTTAGTTGTTCTGTGCCTCTCAAGTTATCAGAATGGACGCCATGTTTACGTCAGACCAGGTCTGTTTGGTTCCCTCTGTCCTGGAAACTTCACCGTCAGGACTTCAGTATACACAAGTGTTTTACAGAGTGCGGCTGACATAGTTCAGATGTACAAACAACAAGTTAGCTTGATACAATTCAGACTACAACTTACAAGTAAAACAATGCTTAAAGTGCTTCTTTTATGCCACTCAGTACTAGTTTGTTTCCCCTAACTTCAAACATTCAATCTCCAAAGTTATGAGTCTTTTTAAGCTGTCTAAGCATATTGAGCTACGTTGTATATCTTTACTGTGGGGGCCTGCATGCCTTTTTTCGTAAGGCGTAATCAGACCTTTTTAGTCTTCGTAATCTGTAGGCAGCCTCCCCCAAAAT